AGTATGTTTCATTCAGCGGTGGAGAGTATACCAAGCAAGGGCCCGTCTTCCGTTAGCGCCAACGCGTCCCGAGAGAGAGAGAGAGAGAGAGAGAGAGAGAGAGAGAGAGAGAGAGAGAGAGAGCAGAGAGAGAAGAGAGAGAGAGAGAGAGAGAGAGAGAGAGAGAGAGAGAGAGAGAGAGAGAGAGAGAGAGCAGAGAAGAGAGAGAGAGAGAAGAGAGAGAGAGAGAGAGAGAGAGAGAAGAGAGAGAGACGAAGAGAGAGAGAGAGAGAGAGAGAGAGAGAGAGAGAGAGAGAGAGGAGAGAGAGAGAGGAGAGAGAGAGAGAGCAGAGAGAGAGGGAGAGAGAGAGAGAGAGAGAGAGAGAGAGAGAGAGAGAGAGAGCAGAGAGAGAGAGAGAGAGAGAGAGAGAGAGAGAGAGAGAGAGAGAGAGAGAGAGCAGAGAGAGAGAGAGAGAGAGAGAGAGAGAGAGAGAGAGAGAGAGAGAGAGAGAGAGAGAGAGAGAGAGAGAGAGAGAGAGAGAGAGAGAGAGAGAGAGAGAGGAGAGAGAGAGAGAGAGAGAGAGAGAGAGAGTAGAGAGAGAGAGAGAGAGAGAGAGAGAGAGAGAGAGAGAGAGAGCAGAGAGAGCGAGAGAGAGATGGCAGTGACGTCACCGCTGCGGGTCGGCAATGCTATGAGGAATGAGTGCAAGGAGCTGTGTGTGATGCGAGACAGCGCTGTGACGCCGTAACCGCACGCAGTAACCCACTCACCTGTCCTAGTTGTTAAAGCCCTTGTTGTCGACCGCAGACAGGTGTGTCTGCAATACTTGGCCGAGGTGAGAGCTTGCGCGTGCGAGAGAGAGAGAGAGAGAGAGAGAGAGAGAGGTTGCTCCACTCGGATGAGATTTCTCTATTACTACCTCAATTTTTATAGTACCTCGTGACAGTGTAAACTTCCATTCCATTTGATAATGACACTTTGTATACCGTTGTTACATACAGGGAACCACGTGGCAGTGATGATTTTGTAACTTAGAGGTGTTGACGACGTTTCATGGCAGTAATGTGCGTAGGTTATTTATCGGTAGTAGATGTAGTATATAGTGAACAAGTCTATGTTATTCAGTCACACACGTGTAGCCATTACACTGCCTCACTCTACACTTCTTCACTCCTCCATCTTTCTCTTCTTTCTCCCTCTGTTTTGTCCTCACTCCTCTACTTCTTCCATCCCACGCCCTCGTGTATTGATATAGACTTTCTTACTTTGAAACGTTTTATTATTAACGTATTATCTTACCTCACAGGTGTGCAGGTCTGTTGTTCCCCAGTCTACCTCATTGATTGTAGCCTTGTTTCATACGTGAATGGTTATTTTTATGTCAGTGCACAATGATCTAAATACCACGTGAAGATTGTGTCGTGTGTTTTGGGGGGAGAGAAAAAAGAGTTGTGGTAGCGATTTACCAGCTGGCTTCATGTCGGCCTCGCCAGGGGGCGCCACGCTGGTTCCCACCGCTCTGAGACGACTGTACAGATATATATATATATGAATGGGACCAGTGTGCGATCGGGCGCCCCGACATAGGAACCATTTTAAATGTGTGTAATACCTACATGTTACCGGGCCACTCGGACGCGGTGGCCGCGTGTGCGCGCGTGTGTGTGTATTTCGGTGCACGTATAAAACCTAGAGTGTGTTTTTGGTGTACTCTGAGAACGCGCGTGTCCAGTTTGTGGCGTCGGTGCGCGCGCGCGAGAGAGAGAGGCTCCGGACGACGCAACGCGGCGAGCGACGGCTGTTTTACAAAGCCGTCATGCGCGTCCGCGCGCGCGATAGATGGACGGATATGGACGAACGGTTAGAGGACGGTATATATATAACATGATTTACGTAGCTTGGTACGACCGCGGAGATAGAGAAATTGAGGTGGCGTCAGCGATGGTTACTGCTTGCTGCCAGATCACAGATCGTGTACTGTTCTCTGTTCTTTGGCTTGATTCCTCTTGTACCCTGCTTATGTGGACCTTGCGTGGACATCGGTTAGGGGGCTGGTGTTGGTACCTCCTCCCGACTGTGCAGTCTTGCATTGAGTCCTTGTGTAGACACACACACTCACGAACTCACGCACTTTTATTATTAACGTATCTTCTCGCTTGCTTGCTACCAGGGTCTGGAGCGGGTCATCAACACACTGGAGGAATGCTGGGACCAGGACGCCGAGGCTCGTCTCTCAGCCAGCTGCGTAGAGGAACGATTCGCCCTCCTCCAGCAGAACATCTCATCCTCCTCCGCCGCGTCCAATCAGGACCTGTCGTCGATCGTCGCCGACGGCAACGCCACGCCGCTGATCACCGCCGCCGTTGTCGCGCCGGACGACGTGCAGATGCAGACGATCGTGTAGCGGCGCGCGCGCCCCTGCCAGGTGGCGCTGCCGCTGCTCTCACCGGCGCGCGCGAGAGAGAGAGACTCGACACACACAGTTGCTACCTAGCCGACGACGACGACGACGCTGTCGCTCCCCCGTACGCGGGGCGAGACCGCATGGGAGAGGGGGTGAGCGCGCGGCGAGGAGGAGGTGGTGGTCGTGACGTAGGGGGCGCCGGCGTCTGCGCGACCCGCGGAGGTCGTGAGCGGACGCGGATCCGGCGAGAAGCGAGATCCTCGTCGAGAGAGATGCACATGTGTTTTTTAACGGCGACGTCGGGCGGATCGACGCCGCCTTGGCCACGCGACGCACGCGACGAGTCGCCGGCGTAGGATGTTCGCTTGTTTGAACGCGGTCGTCGCGTTGGTCGCTCCGCGCGTACTGCCGGTTCGTGCGCGGGCGGCGTGGGAGTCGTGCGAGCTGTTATTCCTGCGAGGGAAAACGACCGGGGGGAGGAGTCTGCGTCGGGGAGAGAGAGACTCGGTGCTGCTCCCTGGCGGCCGCGTTTGCGCTCGCATCGTCGACCGTCCGCCGCGATGGCAGAGGCGACGGCGAGCGGAGAGCGGACAAGTGAACAGCACTCGGCGATCGGGGGAGCCGGCCAACGTCGGTCGGATTCCGATTCCGATTCCGTGGAACGACGGGAGGTAAGGTGGTCGCCGCCAGTCCGCAGGATTCCCGGATGAGAGACCCGGACGAGGGGGAGGAGATTCCGGAGGTTCCCCCGCCGACGCCCGACCCTCGCCCCCCCGCGCACGGATACAGGCGCCCGTCGATCCACTGTACATAGCAGCGCTGTGGGTTTGTGTCCGCGCGAGCGATGTACAGGAAGTGTGTGGTGATTTTATATGAGGGGGTTTTTTTTCTCTCCACGTGCGTGTGTGTGTGTGTGTGTGTATTATGGGTATTATTCATATATCCTTTTACCAACTCAGGTATCTGTGTATCTATAAATGCATTTTGACAAGGGTGTCGTCTCTCACACTAGTGCCTGAGAGGGCGGCCCCGGGGGCTGACCGGCCGGGGGGGGGGGTAGAGCACTCGCCGGGCGGCCGCCGGGGCTGCTCCGATATTCTACATGATTTATACTCGCGTTCCCGCGACAGCGTAATTAAAAGCGTAGCTCTCGTCGTCGTTTCTCGGTGTAAATAGATATTTTACTTTTTTTGTAGAAAAAAAAATCGTAGGGAAAAAAAGAGACGATATTGTGGCGGGGGTTTCGTCCAACTCAGGTAATGTTTTTTATCACGTCTGGCAGTTGTATTTTATTCGGGGCGCGCGGGCCTCTCTGTTCTGATGCGCGTGTGTGTGCGTGTGTAGTCAAGCCCCTCCTCCCTTCCTCTCCTCTTGTGGCCAGTCTGGGTAAATCACCTGCTCTCTCTCGGTGAGCTGAATGAGACGAGAGGGGGGGTCAGTCGGCCATGCAGTGCAAATATTGACTGTAGCTTTCGTTTTTCGGGTGCTTTCTAATTGTCTGCTGCTGCTGGTGCTGGTGCTGGTGGTGCTGCTGCTGGTGGTGGTGGTGGTGCTGCTGCTGGTGGTGGTGGTGGTGCTGCTGCTACTGCTGGTGGTGGTGGTGGTGGTGGTGCTACTGCTGCTGCTACTGCTGCTGCTACTGCTGTTGCTGCTGCTGCGGCTGCTACTGCTGCTCTTGCTGCTGCTGATGCTACTGCTGCTACTGCTACTGCTGCTACTACTGCTGTTACTGCTGCGTCCTGCTGCGTCCTGCTGCGTCCTGCCAGGTCTCTGTGTGTGCGCAGGGTCGGGCGGGACGGGGCGAGGTCACCGTCGGTGTTACAGAGTTCATTGCTGCTCACGTCACGAGCGCTGACCGAAATCTGTCCTCCTACCGCCCACCCACAATACCCTCCCTCCCTCCCGTGATGAGAAAGAAGAAGAGGAAAGTTTCGGGAGGAAACAGAAGAAGCATAGAGGGTTGACGGTAACAAGAGAAAGATTGAAGGTGGGAGATTAACAAGAGACAGATTGAAGGTGGAGATGACAAGAGAAGGATAGAGGGGGCTGGGTAACAGAAGAAGCATAGAGGGTTGAAGGTAACAAGAGAAAGATTGAAGGTGGGAGATTAACAAGAGAAAGATTGAAGGTGGGAGATGACAAGAGAAGGATAGAGGGGGGTGGGTAACAGAAGAAGCATAGAGGGTTGACGGTAACAAGAGAAAGATTGAAGGCGGGAGATGACAAAAGAAGGATAGAGGGTGGTGGGTGATAGGAGAAGGATAGATAATGTTAGATAACAAGAGAAGGATAGAGGATGGGAGGTGAAAGGAGAAGCATGAAGGATGGGAGGTGACAGGAGGAAGGGGGGGGAGCTTGACTGCATGTTTAAACAGAGAGCGGCCCGCTACACTGCCTGCACGCGTGATGCGTTTGCTGAGGTGAGGTCTAGTTGTATGTGTGTGTGTGTGTGTGTGTGTGTGTGTGTGTGTGTGTGTGTGTGTGTGTAACGATCGCTGTGTGCGTGCGTTAACGCGCATAGAACACACAGACACGTGTATCTTGTGTGTCACACACACACACACAAACACACAGGTATTTCATGATCGTGTTTTGAAGCATCGATTGGTTGTGTACAGGTGTCAAGGTCTTTTATTGTTTTGCTTATTTGCAAATTTTTTGCTGCGGCTGCTACTGCTGCACTCGTCTCTTCTGCTGCCGCTGCAGCTGCTATCGCTGCTGCTGTTGCCACTGCTGTTGTTGTTGCTGCTGCTGCTGTTGCTGCTGCTACTGCTACTATCGCTACTGCTGGTATAATTTGAGCAGTACACATATGTATGTGTGCGTGGGTGCGCACGCTAGATGGTTAGTGGCACATGTACAGTCGTCGCAGCACGCATATACATACATATACGTGTGTGTATGTATATGTACATACACATATATGTATGTATATATATATATATATATATATATATAGAGCTGTGTGTTCCATTGTACCACTGTCAGCACCTACAATGTTCGAAGGTTGTATTGCGGGCAGGTATGTTGTTATACCTCCGTGGTGGCGGAGTGAGCAAACATGCTTGCGTTGTGTGCGCGTCAGTGTGCTGTGTGTGGGCCGAACAGAAGCTGGCTGCATGATATTATATATACGACACACGCACAAGCGCACCCCGGTGTGTCACCGATGTACTATATATTGCACTACGTGTGCGCGTGAGCTCTGTTTATTAGCACGTCGTTTAGAATTAGGTGGCTAGAGCTAAGTGCTGCTTCGTGTAAGTCTGTAGGACGGTAACAGTTTATGATAATGACGCTGCCGCCGCCGCCGACAGCGACGACGACGACGATGATGATGATGATGATGATGATGATGATGATGATGGTGACGTTGACGACAGTGCGGACGTTGGCGACGGACCATGTATGATTATGATTATGGAGATTGTGACGATGTATCGCATATTTGTCATGGCCTGGGTTTAGCGTTTGCCATATTTTTTGTTTTGTATTATTTGCACTGCTATTTCGCATCCGTGTTTTTGATTTTTTGATTTTTTGATTTGTGTCTAAAGAACCTCTCTTCTGCTTCTACTCTTTCTTCTACTACTCCCCCCCTCCTCCTCCTCCTCCCATTCCCTTGACTCCGATATATCGTTCCCCTGTCACCAGCATATATATATATAACTGTTCCTATCTGCGGCACTTTAGTGGGTGAGTGAGTGAGTGAGTGGGTGGGTGGGTGAGTGAGTGAGTGAGAGTGAGAGTGAGAGTGAGAGTCAGTGAGTGAGTCGGTGAGCGAGCGAGTGTCGAGGGAGGGACACAGGGAGATGCAGTGAGTGCTCCAATGTGAAGCTGGGGGAGGGGGGGTAGCCTCTATCCTCGCACACACACCGCCCACGCACGCCCTCCTGTCCCTCCCCTCCCCCAGCGCTCGCACATACACCCCCACGCACCCTCCCTGTCCCTCCTCCCTCTCCCGCGCTTCGCCCACACACACCCCCCGCACGCACCTAGCGCATGAGGTCCCGTCCCACCTCGCCCTGCCTCCCGCCTCCCCCCAGCGCTCGCACCCACACACCGTCCCCCCGGCACGCCACCCCCCCTGTCCCTCCCTCCCTCCCCCGCGCTCGCACCCACACACACCCCCACGCACGGCCCTGCCCCCTGTGCCTCCCTCCTCCCCCTGCGCTCGGCACACCGTGTCTCGACTCCCTCCCACCTGTCGTTACGCTTGCATCTTATGCGCTAGCTACGCTGCTTGCCGCTAGATGGCGCGGTTATCGTATCGTCGGCAGTATGTAGGTGGGTCGCCTGCTTAGCTGCGTATGTACGCGTGCGTGCGTGCGTGGCGTGCGTGCGTGGCGTGGCGTCCTGCGTGCGTGCGCGTGTACGGAAGACCCGAATTGCGACTCATGGCAGCAACTTGTCGGCTCCTGCGCCGCGCACGGTAAGAGCGAGATAGCGAGAGAGGAGAGAAAATCAAAAATGTTGGCGCTCACATGTTGCGGGACGGCCGAGAAAGTTAGTAGCGTTAACCAGGTGTGCGTGCGTGCGTGCGTGCGTGCGTGCGTGCGTGCGTGCGTGCGCGTGTGCGTGTGCGTGGCGCGTGTGTGTGTGCTCACGGCTGCATCTAAGATCTGGGCTCGCTAATCAAAAGCTGCTTATTACGCCGCTTCGCCACGCATGCTGTGTTTGTGTGTCTGTTGTTACGTGGCGGGATGCTACAGATGGGCAATGTCCCCCCAGTACACGACAATACTATTGCATGTAAGTGTGCGTGTCCTGTGCGTGTGCGCGTGCGTGCGTGTGCGTGCACGCGTGCGTGTGTATACGTGTAGTGTACGTGTGCGCGTGCGTGCGTGTGTATACGTGTAGTGTATGCGTGTGCGTGCGTATGCACATGCTGTAAGCAGACGAACAGCTTGAGCGAGAGAGAGATCATGATGGCTCGAATAAAGCAAACCACTGTGGGTGAACATTTCTGCCAAATGTGCCAACTCGAATTCATCGTCTCT